TCATATTGTACATTTCTAACCCTGATTGAATACCTTCAGTTGAATTATACTAAACTGGATGCTAAAATGTCACAATTCACAAAAATGATAAAAATGATAAAGAAATGCTTTAAATTAAACTCTAATTCCCTGAAGATTGGCATATCAGATAATTATACACTAATAGTTGCTGGTTTTCTTCTTAGGAATTTTAACATATTCACGGCAGCAGTTTTGTTATTTTTAAAGAACTGAAACGGTAGACAATTACAGTTCTCTATCCAATTAGAGATCAGCTAGCTCATGTATTTAAAACCCAAAATGCATGTACAAAAACAAAGGCAACAATAGAACATTGTACCTCAAAAAGGGGCATTATGTAATTAATCTGTTCTCCCTTGTTTAGAGTATGAACATTTTCCCCACTGAGATGTTTGATTTTGACTTGTTCCCAGGGTACTTGGAAATCTTTTCATAAGAGTGCTTAACATTGAAATTACTTCTTGTGTAAAAATCCAATTTTTCCCCTGAATAGGCAGAGGCAGGAAAAGGGTCCAGAGCCAAAGGAAATGCTTTATAATAAGCTTAGGCCATTTTTATGGTTGAGAAACTAAACAGGCTTGTTCTGACTTTTTATTCTCCTATAACCTCACTTTTGCATTTTACTAGCCACCACCAGGACTGAATGGCTTTCATGATTTTGTGGTATCAGTATATATTTTAGAGACTTACTCATTTACTATCATCTTCATTTTAAGCCATTAGAAAATCAAGTTAGGGATAATGCTCTGGTGAATCTTCTCTGTCCTGGATGCAATTAGATACAACTTTGCAAAGTATTTATTATTGGTGATGTGCATGTCTTATGTTGAAAGTAGCTTCTAAAGTCTTTTTTAAACTGAGCAGACTAATAGTGAAAAATTATTGAACACCCAACACACACACACACACACACACACACACACACAAAGTTATATACATATACTAAAAGTTTAATTCATTAAAGCTTCCAAATCATTTAAAAATCCACATACCATAAAATTTACTCCTTTAAAGTGTACATGTTAGTCTTTGTTTTGTTTTTATTAATCCTCATCTGAGGACATTTTTCCATTGATTTTTAGATAGAGTGGAAGGGAGAGAGGGAGAGAGAGAGAGAAAGAAACATTGATATGAGAAAGACACATTGATTATCTGCCTCCCACACAACCCCAACCGAGGACGGGGATCCAACCTACAATCATGTACGTGCCCTTGACTGGGAATCAAACCTGGGTCCATGGGCCGATTCTCTAACCACTGAGCCAAACCAGCAGGGCAAGTCAATGATTTTTTTTTTTTCTCACTTGAGGACATTTTTCCATTTTTTGTTCAGATAGAGTGGGAGGGAGAGGGAGAGGGAGAGGGAGAGGGAGGGAGGGAGGGAGGGGGGGAGAGAGAGAGAGAGAGAGAGAAAGAGAGAAAGAGAGAGAGAGAAACATCGACGTGAAAGGGACACATCAAGTGGTTGCCACCCGCACGACCCAACCAGGGCCGGGGACAGATTGCAACCAAGGTATGTGCCCTTAGCGGGAACCGAACCCAGGTCTCTCTGGACTGCAGGCCAATGCTCTAACCTCTGAGCCAAACTGGCCAGGGTAAGTCAATGTTTTTTTAAAAGTAAGTCAATGTTTTTTAATTGTGTCACATGCTGCACAATTATTGCCACTATCTAATTTTAAGACATTTTCATTAGCCCCTAAAGAAACACTATAGTTATTAGAAGTCACTCTGCATTCCACTCTCTCCCCAGACTCCATAACGACTAATCTACTTTCCTGTCTGTTAAAATTTTTCATAAAAAATGAAATTGAACAATATGTGTCCTTTTGTGTCTGGTTTCTTTTTCATTAGCATAATATTTTAAAGGTTCATCCATGTTGTGGCATGTATCAGTACCTTCCTTTCCATACCTAAATAATAGTCCATTGTGCCCGGTCCGTGTAGCTCAGTGGATTGAGCGTCGGCCCATGGATTAAGAAGTCCCCGTTCGCCCTGGCCGGTTTGGCTCAGCGGTTAGAGCGTCGGCCTGCGGTCCGGAGAGACCCAGGTTCGGTTCCCGCTAAGGGCACGTACCTCGGTTGCAGTTTGTCCCCGGCCCTGGTTGGTCGTGCGGGTGGCAGCCACTCGATGTGTCCCTTCACATCGATGTTTCTGTCTCTCTCTCCCTTCCTCTCTCTCCCTCCCACTCTATCTGTACAAAAAATGGAAAAATATCCTCTGGTGAGGATAAAAACAAAAAAACAAAAAAAAAAAGAAGTCCCCGTTCAATTCCTGGTTGGGCCATATGCCCAGGTTGAGGGCTCAATCCCCAGTAGGGGGCGTGCAGGAGGCAGCCAATCGATGTTTCTCTCTCACATCAATGTTTCTATCTCTCTCTCCCTTCCTCTCCCTCTCAAAAATGAATAGAAACATATTTAAAAGTAAATTAATTAATTAATAATATTCCATTGTATGGATAAACACATTTTGTTTCTACTCATTAACTAATGAATATTGGAGTTGTTTCCACTTTTTGGCTATTAAAAATAATACTGCTATAAACACTCATGTACAAGTTTTTGTGTGGACATATGTTTTCCACTCTCTTGGTTATATACTAAGGAGTAGAATTGGGGGTATATATGGTGACTGTTTAATTTTTGAGGCATTATCAAATTGCTTTCCAAAGAGCCTGAACCATTTTGAATTTCCAATAGTAATGCATCCAATATCTCCATATTCTTGTCAGCATCTTTTTATTTTTTAAGTTATAGCCATCCTGGTGGGTATAAAGTTGTATCTTGTCATTTTTATTTGAATTACCCTAATGACTAATGATGTTGAGCATCTTTTCATGTGCTTATTGACTATCAGTATATCTTCTTTGGAGAAATGTCTACTTAGATCCTTAGCCCATTTTAAAAACTGGATTATTCTTTTTACTGTTGACTTGCAAATGTTCTTTTGTATTCAGGATACCCATCCCTTATCAGATATACAATTTGCAAACATTTTCTCCCATAATGAATTAAGCAATGGTTTCTTGGATTGTACACCAAAACAAAAACATAAAGATAAATTTCATCAAACATGAAAGCGTTTGTTCCAAAGGAAATTATCAAAGAAAAAAAAAAAGACAGAATGGGTTCTCGTGAGAAACTGGCTATTAATCTTACTGATAATTTGCTTCTCCTTTGCTGTTTTCAAGACACTCTTTTTGTCTTTATCTTTCACTATTTTGATTATGATGTGTTTTGGTGTGGATCTCTTTAAGTTCATCCTACTTAGATTTTGTTGAGCTTCTTGGATGTGTAGATTCATGTTTTTTAAATCAAATTTGGGGGGTTTTCAGTCATTATTTCTTTAAATAGTCTATGTGCACTTTTCCCTCTCCTCTAGAACTCCCACTATGGATATGTGGGTGTGCTTGATGATGTTTTACAGGTATCTGAGGCTCTGCTCATTTTTCAACATTGTTTTTCTTTTCTGTTCCTCAAACTGGATACTCCCAATAAACCTATCTTTAAGTTTGTTGATTCTTCTGCTTACTCCAATCTGCTACTGAGCTGCTCTAACATGCATTTCATTCCAGTTATTATACTTTTCAACTCCAAAATTTATACGGGGTGTGGCAAAAGTAGGTTTATAGTTGTGAGCATGTGAAACACAGAGTTTTTTGTTTTGTTTTTTTTATCCTCACTGAAGAACGTTTTTCCATTTTTTGTTCAGATAGAGTGGGAGGAAGAGAGAGAGAGAGAGAGAGAGAGAGAGAGAGAGAGAGAGAGAGAGAGAGAGAGAGAAACATCCACGTGAAAGGGCTTTCTCCCACACAACCCCAACAACCCCAACCGGGGCCAGGACAAACTGCAACCGAGGTACGTGCCCTTAGCAGGAACCAAACCAGGGTCTCTCTGGACCACGGGCTGACACTCTAACCACTGAACCAAACCGGCCAAGGCTGAAATGCAGAGTTTATTCTTGTATTATTACTTTTGCCCCACCCTGTATGCCATTCCTTTTTTTAAAATAACAAAGTACGTTTATGGAAACTTCTTAATTAAAAAATTTTACTTTTGTATATTCTCTATTTGAGGAGACAATGTTTTTTATACTTCCTTTAGTTCTTTACATTTCATTTTTATTAGTTCCTTTAACATAGATGAACTAGTTGTTTTAAAGACTTTCATCCTGTCAGGCAGGTCAAATTAGGACAATTCTCTTGCTTGGCTGGGGTGGCTCAGTTGGTGGGTCATCATTCCCTGCACCGAAAGGTTGAAGGCTAGAGTCCCCCACAGGGGGCCTGCAGGAGGCAGTTATACTCTCAAATCTATGGTTCTCTCTCTCTTTCCCTCTCCCTTCCTCTCTCTCTAAAGGTCAGTTTTAAAAACTCTTAAAAATAAAATTCTAACAATTCTCAGAATTGTCAGCATTCATGAACTTCAAACCCATTTGGCTCCTTCCAGTTGCTGCTGGGCTGCTAGTTTTTGGGGTGATGAGTTAGTTTTCGGGGCCATGCCCTTAGGGGGAACTGAACCCAGGACTCTTCGGTCCGTGGGCCAACACTCTAACTGCTGACCCATAACAGCCAGGGCTTCATCAATCTTATCTCCTTCTGAAATGTGGCCCCTAAACCCTTCACAGTCTAGACCCAATCTGAACTGAAGGTCAGACAACTAGGGTTCTGACTCCAGCTTGTTTCTTGTGGAACCTTTCAGACCTACTGTACTGGGTATAGAACATTAGTGAGCACCTACTATGCACTGAACTTAGAGTCAATTCACAGAGGTATAGACAAGTAAACCAGTAGTCACAATATATTGTAAAGAACTACATAGAAGTATTATTTAAGAAGGTATCTGAGAAAGTGCCTTGGAAAAATAAACAGGATTAAAAAAGTGAAAGGTATTATTACTGTGTTCTTTTCTTATTTACCTCCAGTATAATGTCCTCAAAAATTTAGACCCTGAAATTTCTACATTTATAGGCAGCCACATAAATACCTGTTAACCTTGTAGCATTTATATCCTTATCTTCAACGCAGGGGTGATGCCTATCCTGCTGACCTCCTACGACTGTGGTGAAAGATCATAGGAGGAGACATATGGAAGGTCTTGTGAAGTGCCTTACAAATTCCACTTATTATCAAAACAATTATTATAAATGAATAAAAATACTAAAAATACATTATAAAATACTCTCATTTTTATTACCTATGCATCTCAAGTCATGTTATCCTCATTTGAACATTGGTTTGGACAATTTAATGAGAATAAATTTATCTGTTAAGTATTTCATGGGAAATCTTTTATAGAGTTCCATATTCACACTATGAAAATTTTAAGATTATTGATAAGTCACCAAAACAACGATGGAGGAAAAGAAAAGCAGTTACTTACGCTCTGCTTTTAACTGTCCAAGGATGGAATTTTCCCCTCTGCACATGGTTCTGAAAATATGTAAAGAAAGAAAATAATTATGGGGGGTTTCAAAGAAACCAATCCCAATTTGTAGGACTTAGTCCTAATCCAAGTAAAAAGAGAACAAGTGCTTTTATGAAAAGATGCTACATAGATTTTTTTTTAAAAGCTAAAACCGCCCTGGTCGGTTTGGCTCAGCGGTTAGAGCGTCGGCCTGCGGTCCAGAGAGACCCGGGTTCGGTTCCCGCTATGGGCACGTACTTCGGTTGCAGTTTGTCCCCGGCCCTGGTTGGTCGTGCGGGTGGCAGCCACTCGATGTGTCCCTTCACGTCGATGTTTCTCTCTCTCCCTTCCTCTCTCTCCCTCCCACTCTATCTGTACAAAAAATGGAAAAATGTCCTCGGGTGAGGATAAAAAAAAATAATAATAATAAAAAAATAATAATAAAAGCTAAAACCCCCTCACCCAATAAATATCACTTTCGTAATGTTACTGATGGAACAAGGTAGTTGTTTTGAGGTGGGTAAATGGAAAAGTTATAAAATTGATTTCAGAGGGAGATGCTATTTTTAAGAGATGGATTATGAATGAACTTCCTTCTCAGAAAATTTGTTGACAGTGCCTCAGCAGATAAGGGTACTTACACAATCACGTTGCTTTCTGAGGTGAAAAGGGCAAAAACTTAGCAGAGTAATTTTGGAATTAAAGGAACTATTATACTTGGGCAGTCTCTGTAAAGTTGGCAAACCCCTTAAAAGTGAAAAATATAGTCTTAATAACTGACTATTAACAATTTTGTTTCCCAAGACTCTGATAATAGTCTATGAATTGTAAAGACTGAAAAAAGAAAAAGTCTATGCTCCATCTGCTTGCTTTATGAAAGTAATTAAAATTCATTTATGCCTGGGAAATGCTGATATTATTAAAAATGATACCAGCAAATAGAGATGTTTTTGCATAATAAAAGGTTATAGTTTTAGTTGCTGAACAAAAGCCAAGCATGTTATTTCATTCAGCTGGTTCAAACCCAAGAAAATAGTCACAAAAAATAATTACAATTGACAATATTCCAAAAATAACAATAGAATGGCAAATAGGGTGGTTAATATCTAATTAAACATTATGTCAGGGCCTTAAATACTTGAAAAGCTTTGTTTGTCATGTTATAAATCAGATAATAATAGAAATGAGCAAATCTTCATTCTGAGTGTATAGACCAAACCATAGTTAAAGTTCTCCCATATTGTAATCAGTAAAATTACTCAAGAGGAAACAAACAAAATCTTTACTTGCACCCAGCAAGTATTGCTCAGTGGATTGAGCATTGTCCCATGGACTGAGAGGTCCTGGTTCGATTCCCGGTCAGGGCACATGCCCGAGTTGCAGGTTTAATCCCCATTAGGGGGTGTATGAGGCAGCCGATGGATGTTTCTCACATTGATGTTTCTCTCTCTCCCTTCCTCTCTCTCTAAAAATTCAATAAAAACTTATTTTTAAAGAAATCTTTACTTGAAACCCTGGCAGATAAGACACAAGCTTGAAAAGTCTGAATAAAACAAGAGGATTTAAAAATATATATATATTTTCATCACAATGGGGTGCTCAAACTGTGCACCGAAGACCCCCAGATTCTACAAGGGGTTCCACTGGGGAAGGGGGCCCCTATAAAGGCATATAAGTCGACACCCCCAATTTGACTAAGGTTCTTAACCCTTATCTGCTTTATACACTGGGGGTTCTGGGTAAGGTCTCTTTTGTCCCCTAAAAAGGGTCTGATCATGAAGGTGGTCAAGTACTGGTGGCTCTGACAAACAAGGGCTATTAAAAGAAAATACCCAGTTTCTGGTCCTTGCTTTGTGTATTAAGAGTGTGATCTTGCCTGGCAGGTGTGGCTCAGTGGTTGAGCATCGACCCATGCACCACCCAGTCGTCACTTTGATTCCCAGTCAGGGCACATGCCCAAGTTGTGGGGCCAGATCCCCAGTGGGGGGCATGCAGGAGGTGGCCAATCAATGTTCTCTCTCATCAATGTTTCTATCTCTCTCTCCCTCTCCATTCCTCTCTCTCTAAAATGAATAAAGAAAAAATAATTTTTAAAAAAAGTATTCTTTGGCCCTGGCTGGTTTGACTCGGCAGTTAGAGCATTGGCTTGTAGGTCCAGAAAGACCCGGGTTCGACTCCCACTAAGGGCATGTACCCTGGTTGCAGTTTGTCCCCGGTCCTGGTTGGGGTCATGCGGAAGGCAGTCACTCGATGTGTCCCTTTCACGTTGATATTTCTCTCTCTCTTCCTCTCTCTCCCTCCCACTCTATCTGAATAAAAATGGAAAAATGTCCTCGGATGAGGATAAAAACCAACCAAACAAAAAAGTATTCTTTGTATATATTATTTTACATTTTATATATTACATTATATATGATATGCATTATGTATTATTTTATAGTTATAACGCACATACTATATGTTTTATATACATTACAAAAATAATATGTACATGTATACTAGGCAACAAATAGAAAAGAGACTAACATTTTAGTTTTTTTATACCAGCCACGTGTCCTCGTACTACCATTTAGGATTTTAGGCTCTATTTGAATTTTACCACCTAGTAAACAGATCAAGATTCAAAGTAAACTAAAGAAAAGTGTTCATTTGTTCAACACTCCACTGAACAGATGCGGACAGACATTTCCATTCCCGTCAGCAGCCCTGCGCAGGAGGGAGGGAAAGCTGGAGGCGGGCCGTGGGGTCTGGCACCTGAAGTTGAAGTGCATGATGGCCTGGAGGGCGTTTCCTCCGCCCGTGGAAATGTCTCCTTCAAACCCTGGCAGCAGGGGTATCACCACATACACGCGGTATCGCTGGCCTTCCCTGCAAAAATCAGACGCAGAGATTGCAACAAAAAAATGATACACACAGTAGCAGTTTACATTGACAGCCAGACATTTCACACTGTTTTAGAGATGGAGTTAACGGCTACCCGCAGTATCTTCTGTCACATCTCGGGGCCTCAGGGGTGCTCTGGGACCGGAGGCCAGAGCGATTTTCCAGGCTAACAGTTCATAACAGACTGAGAAATAAGCAAACTTGGCAGTAAAGTGGGAATTGTACCCACTCTCTCTACAGCACAATCCTCTAGGACAAAATTCACAGTAAGAAAGCCTTGCCTGAATCCCATGGAGATGTATGTGTGTTGGGGGTCAGGGGGAGGGATAACAAAATTTTCAAAAAGACTATCATAATAGTTTTACGTGTAACAAGTTCTATCCATAGTTGTATCCTAGCTCAGAGCCTGGCAAATAGCAGGCATTCGGTTAACAGCTGAGTGAATGATTTCTCACAGCTTAGATCTTGGGGGCAGAAAGACCCCCTGGACCCACTAGACTATTTTCTGATGATGCGGAAATTGTCATTGCTTAGAAACGAATTCAGCTCTGAAAGCTCTGGTTTAGAGTCAAAATGTTCCCCTGGGTCCTTCAAGAATTTGGAGTGACTGATGATTTTTTAAATTGATATTGTTACAGATGTCCACCACCAACCCCCTTTCCCCACCTCCACCCAGGCCCCGCCCTCTCCTCCCGCTCTGGCCTTCACCACATTGTTGTCTGTGCTCATGGGGCATGCATGCATACATATTCTTTGGCTATTTATTCTCTTCACCTACTTGTATCCGGTTCACCCCCACCCCCACCTCCCCTCTAAACGAATGGTGATTTTTAAATCCCTTGCATATATAACACGATCTTTTTGGGCCCACTCTCCTGCATGATTAATGGCAGCCTCTGAAAGAAAAGGTGTTGAGTAGCTGTAGCACAAATAGAACGCGTGGCTCCTTACTTTGGTCTACATTCAGAAAGCAGGAGAATTTGGAGAATTACACTATGTTCAATAAGTACTGCCCATCTGGAGGCAAAGCTGTCCAAGTCTTTGTCTCCATCGGGAAGATACACAGGAAGAAGAGAGAGCCTGGTAATGACTGGCACCCGCTGTGGTTGGGATCTCAGCGTATATCTCAGAGCTCTGTCGTCACACAAAGGCGCTGCTACTGGCTAATTTTCCAATCAGATTTCACTTAAACTCTTCATGATACTTTGTTTCTAAAGTTGATTTCTTCTAAACAATTACATTTTCCTTTCATGTGAATATTACTCCTACTCCCTGAGGGGTCAGATTTCATTACTGATGTCCCTAAATGGCAATGTGTGTATCAGGACATGTGGAAAGTGACGTTCAGGGCAGTGACAGCCAGCAGGAGCCTGAAGACCTGTGAGCGTAACTGGTGCTGAGACACCAGGAATTTGAAGCAGGTTGTAATGGCATGGATTAATCACTAGATGGCAAACATAGTTCGAGGTGGGAAATAAGCCATTAAAAAAGTTCTCTCCCTAAGAGTAAGAGGCTCACATCCCTACATGGTAAATGGGGTAGGAGAAAGGAAGAACAGAAGTACTACATAAGCCATTTTCCCAGTCGGTATTTAAAAGTCCAAACCAGACACAGATAACAATATGGGCGGGGGGTGGGGGGAACTGGGAGGAGGGTGTCAATGGGGGGAAAAGGAGAAACATCTGTAACAAAAATAAATTAATAAAATAAATAAGTAAACTAAAAAATTCAAAAGAAAAAAAAAAAGTCCAAACCACTTAAAAATGGACACCATCAGGCCTCAACTGCCTTTCCAGAATCAGCTTCAGTATGACCCGCCCAGACCCACCGTCCCTTTGCTTAGGGGTGCACCTCCCTACTACAGAGGGCTGGCTCATCTGCGCTGAGTGTGGAATTTCCTTCTCCAGCTCTTGGAATCCCACTTCTTCCAGGGCAGCTAAAGGCTCCTTCCCTGGTCGAGCCATCTTGGATCTTCCAATCAAAACTGGTTTGCTTCCACCCCTGCGTTCCCTTGGCACAATGCCAGAAGGTCTGCTTACACCCCCTGGCCTTACACAACGGTGCTACACGTGGCTGCTGCCGAGGCTAGGCGATAAGCTCTTTTGAAATACAGGACATATGTCCACGTATCTTCTATTTTGGGCAGTGCCCAACAGAGGAACCTTGCACATGGTATGCACTTGGTTCTATTTTCTTTGGAAGGATGAGGTCAGGCTGGAAGAATGTTTCTGGGAAGAAAAGGTTAAGCTGCACAGGACATTTTTCTTTAAAGTAAATTATATTTTATTTGAATATTTTTATTGTGGATATATATATTATATATATTATATAAAATGTGCCATTTTAAGTGTACCATGCATTGGTGTGAATTACATTCACATTTTGTGCAACCATCGTAATACTATGAACCCTGGCAAAGACGACAGCTACTATGAAGGGGTTCTGGTAGCTGGCTTGGCTCAAATAAAACACACAAACACCACCAACAAAAACAAACAAACAAAAAAGCCTAGCAGCCATTTCTGCCCAGGGGCCTCTCACCCAAACTGCACTTCAAGGAGAAGCCTGCACTGAACTCTGTTGCCTGTCTGCACTGTGTTTCTGCCATCTGAGCAGCCCTTAAGAAGGAGTTCTGAAATCTTATTTCAAACAATAGGACTGAGGCTTTCTCCACCCAATCAGAGATGCATAGCTCTGACCAACCATAGCGGCTCTATTCTGACCAATCAGGACGGTGGCTTATGGCCCAAACTGTGAGGATCTGGAGTCCTTATTCGCATGGGGACAGACCCATCAGGTACCAGAGGCACGGACTTCTGTCCATATAAGCCAGCTCCCCTCTGGCTCTGAGAGCCCACTTCCCCTTTCCAGTGCAGACTGAAGACGGCGTTTCCTGGCTGAGCTGAAAACACTGGAGATGTCTTGCCAGAGCAGAGTGAAGCCGACCAGCGCACAGAATGGAGTGGACCAAAGCACAGCAGAGCAGACCAGCACAGTGCAAAGCAGTCCAGCGAGGAGGAGAGCCATCTAGCTGGAGAGGAGCCTGGCCCTAAAACCCCCTGGCCCCAGGGCCGCCTGATCACCGTGTATTCCACAGCTGAGCTGTTCCATAGCCCTGCTGGATCACCGTTGAGCCGTTTTGCACCTAATAAAGTTTCCTTCTTCACCACACCCCAAACTGGAGATTCCCGTTGGTGTTGAATGACCATCACCATCAGTTGATGCTAATGACCGTCAGTTGACAACATCTATTTCTAAAATTTTTTCATGACCCCAAACAAAAACTCTAGGATAATTAAGCAACAACTCCCTTCTTTCCTCTCTGCAATGCCTAGTAACCTCTAATCTGCTTTCCGTTTCTATGGATTTGACTATTCTAGGTATTCCATCTCAGTGGAGTCATAAATTTGTCCTTTTGTGTCTGACTTACTTCACGTAGCACAATGTCCTCAAGATTCATCTATGTTGTAGCATGTGTCAGAACGTCCCTCCCTCTTATGGCTGAATAATATGTCATTGTATGTATGAACCACATGTGGTTTATCTAGTCACCTGTTGATGGGCATGTGGGTTGTTTCCACCTTTTGGCTATTATGAATAATGCTGCAATGAACATTGGCCTACACTGCCTGAGTCCCTGTTTTTAGTTAGCTTGGGTATACACCCAGGAATGGCATTGCTGCGTCCTAGTTATTCTATAGTGTCCTTTGATAGATGATTGAACAAAGAAGATGAGGTATGTATATGCAATGGAATACTACTCAGTCGTCAGAAAAGGTGAAATACTGCCATTTGCAACAACATAGATGGACCTTGAGATCATCAGGCTAAGTGAAATAAGTCAGACAGAAAAAGTCAAGAATCCTATTTCACTTATATGTGGGGCATAAAACTGAAAACAACACATGAGCGAACAAACAAACAAAAACTCACAGGCACAAACAACAATATGGTGGTTACCGGAGGAAGGGAAGCTGGTGAACGGCAAAGGGAGTCACATATACGGTGACAGAAGGTTGGACTTTGGGGGGTGGGCACACAGTGCAATATACAGTGATGTATCTAGAACTGTACACCAATGTCATCCCAATAAACGCAATTTAAAAGATGCCACCCTCTCTTCCAGGTTCTCTTCACGCCTTTGTTCTTGTCCTCGTTTCCTTTCTCCAAGAGCAACTCCTTTGACCTTCCATGTTCTTTCAGAAAGATTATGAATTTAAAACCATATATGTGCATGCTTTCATTATACACAAATATTAGAATACTATAGACATCTTTCTGAATGCTATTTGTGTCACTTATCAGTGTATCCTGGAAATTATGTATATGGAGAGTTGCCCATTTTTTAACAACAGTGACACAGTATGCATACATATATCCACACCATAATATAAGACCAGTTCTCTGTTGGTGGGAATTTAAATAGTGTCTAGTTTTTTGCTATTTCAAAATAGCTACATTGCTATGTATGCTGACCCACAAAAGTTTTTTTTTCACATTTGTTGGGAAAAAATTAGGAGTGGTATTGTTCATCTTGAACACCAAGTGTTTGTCATTCTGTCGGTTCCCTTTTATCCTCGTGTTCTATAAAAGCAAAAATAACATCGAAATGGAGACCTCGCATGTAGGAGATAGAGAAGTGTCCTGCAAAAGTCTTAAATCTTTAGATGAAAAATTCTTGCAAACTTATTTTGTAAGAATCCGAATATTTTCTTATGTCTGGGACCCTGTTAGCCCCACATCCAAGCCTTTTGTTTTTTTGACAATGCAGTAGTTCTTGAATTTCCTGAACAATAATATTTTTAAACTGTGTTCAGCAAATTTGCACAAGTGACTTAGATTTTTCACTACTGTAGGAAAAAGGGGGCTCTAGAATTTCCAACCATAAAATTGCAGTGAGGGTTAAGCCAGTGAGGAGAAAATTTCTGTCAAGAAGATGTCCAATCTCCTTTCTTGATCCCAGCCTCAGAAAACAACAGTTCCCA